AATGACAATAATTTACATGACTTGTCACTCTTTGCACTATGCACATAATTTTAAATGGCATTACATAATTCTTCCCTAAAAACAAATCTAGAATATGATTATAATGAACTTGATTAATGAGAATAACACAGAAGCCAAATGTATGCCACATCAAGAACTGAGTTAATATTAGAGGTGATTCAAAATTAAGGTTATTTGTTTTACGTAAAAAAAATTCCTGATTCAAATCAATTGTTTTAAAATCTTTATTTTGTTCTGTATAAAATAATGTTTGAGGGAATAAAACAAGAATAAATGAGAGCGCAATCTCTCGAATTTTTATTTCTTTAACGTTCTTTTTGTCCCTGATTCATTTATTTTAAAAAAAGACATTTTATTTTCTAGAAAGAAAATATAATTTTATAAATATGTGTTATGTTTGACATTTTAATGATAACATTAGATTTTATTTGCGTTTACAAAAATTAATATTGGGAAGAATGACATAAAAAAAAGTAAAATATTTTCCCGAAAAAAAAAACTCAACATCAACAAAAGAAGGCGTAAACACAAACAAATTGCATAAATTGCATTCGCATAAGGTTTAACATCTCACAGAACCTTTAGTTAGCCTTTTTTTATTCACAAATAAATTTAAACATCAAATTAACTATACACCAAAATATAACAGCTATCAAAAACTTTGTTTTTACAGGATTTTATTATGCATCTAAATTTCTTAAAAATAAAACACTTTTGAAACACATCGTTCTTGTTTAGTTACCAAATATTTTAATGTCCATAAAAAAATCACGCCTTACCAAATTAGGAAAACTTAACAAAAAATATCATGCATTCTTTAATTTCTTTTATATTCAACTTATATAATGTTCTAATATTTGTGTGAAAAGCGTAGAAAAAACGTCAATCAGAATTTGTCTTAATGATAGATTGTTTTTGCTGACAAGTTATTTGTATTTGTATTGAACATAAAACTGGTATAAAGATGACTTTAAACCAGATTGTTCATATTTTTGTTTCATCAACTAGTTTGGCAATAGCTTGATTCGTTTTAGAAATCCAATCAACTGAGAAAAAAAAAACCCAATATGCAGGTGATAAGCGTATATTTCTACATAAATAAGCGAAGTTGATAATTGGAAAGTTGAAGTCATTTCGTTAAACATAACCATTATTGTTAATTTATAATTATCATCTATGTCTTTACCTAGTAAAATATCCAGATTTGGAACAGTTTTACCAGACTCAGTGGTATTTTTTATTTCAATTGGGATACTTGCATAACGTGTCAATATAATAATGGAAGTATGTATTGTCCATTGATAATGATTCGTCGATATATGTAAGTATTGAGTAGAATGCCACAGCATGTGTTTTTTCTTCTCATGTATAGGATGTTGAATAAATTCTTCTTCATATGAAAGCAGTAATAGCTCTGCTAATAAAGGGGTGCAATAAGTATCCATGGGAAAACCGACAGATTGATAGAAGAACTCGTCTCCAAAAACATCATAGATATTGTCATTCAAAAGCTGAAGCATAGTTTTAATATCAATTCAAGATTACTTTTGTGTACAGTCAGGATCTTTTTAACAAAATAATTTTGCAAATGAACAATAGCAAGTGAGTAAAAGGAGTGTCGTGCTATCATTTACAAAAAAAAAAAAAAAGCTGTCAATCTTACTTTAAATTATCGTGAGGAATATTGGAATGTGTTTATTACAAAGGCATAGAAGCTCCTAAATCCATTTAAACAATACAAATCAGAAACAGAGCAAAACCGATCGTCGAAAACATCAAAGGTGGGATAAGATAACATTGAGGAGGGAGCATCCCCTGCCGACAGCTCAAATTTATGCTAAATGTGCTTTTGATGCTTTAATTTGCCTTTATATTTCCTTTTTTCAGCATCAAAAGTTTATCTCAAAATGTGGGTATTTGACTTATTCTGTGCCAACATACAATTTAAGGAGGCTGGGGGGTCAACAAATTAACAAAAAATTAATCACCAGATATAACTTAAATTTTCAGATATGATATCTTTAGCTTTCAGCTATCATTTGACAAAGAAAAATTTCATACATATTAGTTTTAAAATTTGACATTTTTGTATATCTTTATATGGAGCTCTTCTTCTAAAGGAGATATTGTAACGTGCGCCGAATACACAAATCTATTTATAGCTCGTTTTTACCTGTGACACACTTACAAAAAGCACACCAACCAAAATGAATTAAAACTTTAACAAATTTTAATGATAAACAAGCAATAGAATCAAATAAACACACAGTTACAGTTACACACAAATTGACATATAATAAACAAATTCAGACAACGTTTACTCAGCTGTTCAGTTCGAATGTCCTCCAGTCCAGAACGAATTACACCACTCCGAGAACATCAGACACTATGGACGACGGTCACTAAATATGTACTTTCACGGTATTATAAACATCCTGGGCCGAATTACAAAGTACGATATACCATCAGTCCATTGCCAAGTCTCTCCAATTATCCTGTATCCTCGCAGACGATCGCGAGCTCGTGCAGATGTTCTTCAGCTTCCGGAAATCCATGTGACGTCACACAATAAAAATAACTACTACAGCTGACGCAATGTCTATTTTCATAACATTACAGGATCGTAACACCTCCCCCCTTAAAGAAAAGTTTGAGCATAATGAAAACTTTTACAATTACAATGAAACAATATGATTTCACAAAATTTACATATATTTCAATAAAATAACATTTTAATCAACATGTACTCTTGACAAAGCATCTGCAATTAAATTTTCTTTTCCTTTAATATGTTTTATGACAATATTTTTCTCTTGTAACTCCAAACTCCATCTCATTAGCCTTTGGTTCTTGTTTTTCATTTTGTGAACGAATGTGAGTGGATTGTGGTCAGTGAAAACAACAACTGGATGTACAGATGAATTCACATACACATCAAAATGTTGCAATGCTAATAACATGGACAAACACTCTTTTTCTACAGTTGAATAATTTTTTTGACATTTGGAAAACTTTTTAGAAAAATAAGCAACAGGATGACAAACGCAATTTTCATCTTCTTGTAACAAAACTGCCCCACAACCCACATCACTAGCATCAATTTGCAACAAAAATTCTTTATCAAAATCTGGTGATGAAAGAACCGGAGAGACCATGAGAACTGTTTTGATTTGTTGGAAGGCCTGTTGGCATGATTCATCCCAAATAAATTTGCTATTCTTTTTCAAGAGACAGGTCAATGGGTTAGCAATGGTCGAAAAGTTAGGGCAAAATTTTCTATAGTACCCCGCCATTCCCAAGAATCTCATCAGTTCTTTCTTACATTGAGGTGCTGGAAAATTAACAATTGCCTCAACCTTTGCAAACACTGGTCTAACATGGCCGTTACCAACAATATGGCCTAAATATTCAACTACAGCATGGCAAAATTCAGTTTTTGTAAGGCTTACAGTCAAATTTGCATCTGAAAGTTTCTCAAATAATGCCCTGATGTGGGACAAATGCTCTTGAAAAGTGTTACTATACACTATCACATCATCAATGTATGCCTCACTTGCATCTACATCACTAAGTAAATGATTGATCATCCTCTGAAAGGTTGCAGGGGCATTTTTTAACCCAAAAGGCATCACCTTATATTGGTAGAAACCTTTTGGGGTAACGAAGGCTGAAATCTCTTTCGCTCTCTCGGTCAATGGGACCTGCCAATACCCTTTCAAAAGATCGAATTTACTTACATATTTGGCATGACCAATTTTATCGATGCAGTCTTCAATTCTGGGAATTGGGTAAGAGTCAGTTTTGGTAATTGTGTTGACCTTGCGGAAATCAGTACAGAATCTGAACGACCCATCTGGCTTGGGAACAAGGAGACAAGGGGAGCTCCAAGGGCTGTTACTGTACTCAATTATGTCATGTTCTAACATATAAGCCAGTTCCGCATTACAGTGCTCTTGTTTTTCAGGGTTCATTCTGTAAGGATGTTGTTTAATGGGAGATGCATCCCCAACATCTATATCATGGTATACAAGATTGGTCTTTTTAGGAACATCCGGGAATAAATGTGAAAATTCTTGTATAAGAGACATAAGCTCTTCTTTTTCGTTCTCCTGCAAGTGGTTAAGTTTAGACTCTAAGTCTGACAAAACATCAGAGTTTTTCAACTTAGGAGTAGACTGATCATACTCATGTGCAAGTTGGTCTTGTTCTTGGGTTGACTTAACTTCAGTGCTTGAAGCAGCAACTGATTCTACCTTAGGGTGATCTATGTCAGTTCGGTCATGATACTGTTTGATCATGTTGATGTGGCAGAGCTGTTTGCTCTTGCGTCGACCTGGTGTCTTAATAATGTAATTCAAGTCATTGACCTTTCGTTCAACTTCAAAGGGGCCAAAGTATTTAGCACGTAAAGGCTGACCTGGAATTGGTAGCAAGACAAGGACTTGGTCTCCTGACTTAAATGTTCTCGTTTTGGTACGTTTGTCATACCAGGTTTTCATTTTGTCTTGACTTACCTTTAGATTTTCCCTGGCTAGCGTCCAAGTCTGACTGAGCCTCTCTTTGAACTTTGCTACATAATCTAATAGATTTATCTCACTCTCTTCAACCAACCATTTCTCTTTGAGCAATTTCAATGGTCCTCTCACAGTGTGACCATATACAAGTTCGAAGGGACTAAAACCTAATGATTCTTGTTTTGCATCCCTAACAGCAAATAAAAGAAAGGGGATTCCCTGGTCCCACTCTTTCTCATTAGACAAACAATAGGTTCGAATCATAGTTTTTAAGGTTTGATGAAACCTCTCAAGAGCCCCCTGGGACTCTGGATGGTATGCACTAGATGTATGGTGCTTAATCCCTAACTCCTGTATTACCTGCTTAAAGACCTGGGATGTGAAATTGGAACCTTGATCAGACTGTACTGACTGGGGCAAACCAAAATTGGTGAAAAACTTGGTCAAAGCATTGACAATGGTTCTAGACTTTATGTTTCGCAGTGGAATTGCTTCAGGGAAGCGTGTCGACGCACACATTATTGTCAACAGGTACTGATTACCAGCTTTGGTTTTAGGTAAGGGACCCACACAGTCTATAATGACCTTGGTAAATGGTTCATCAAAAGCAGGGATAGGCTTTAAAGCAGCAGGAGGGATTTTTTGATTAGGTTTTCCCACTACTTGGCAGACATGACAAGATCTGCAATAGTCGACTATATCCCTTCTCATCTTAGGCCAGAAGAAGTGAGTCAATGCCTTATTGTAGGTCTTTGTGACTCCCAAATGACCCGACATTGGTGTGTCATGGGCAAGCCCTATGACTGTTCTCCGATATACTCTAGGTACTACAATTTGATGGTGGATTTGCCACTCATCCTCTACTGAAGCATCAGGGGGACGCCATTTTCTCATGAGTACACCCTGATTCTTATAATAACAAACAGGGACCTTCTCTGCCTCCTCTGGAGACAAAGCCTGTTCCATAAGACCTTGTAATTCAACATCAGACTCTTGTTCAGATATCAAATTATCTCTAGTAAGAGGTGTGTTGTCTAACATTTCCTGTAAACCAAATACATCACCTTTAGACTGCTGATCCTCTGAGGAAATGTAACTTTCTGAATCTAACATAGCTGACAAAAATGTCTCATCAAGATCTATAGACAAGTCCTTTACTGAATCTAACTTCTGACTTACCGTCTGTTCAGCATGTCCTAGTTTCTTTGCCATAGCCCTTGTAATAGCACATGAAGGAAATAACTCTTTATTCTCCTCCTCTATCTCTCCTATAAGACTAGGCTTCTCAAAAATGATTGGGTCAGGTACCACCCTACCCCCAGCTAAATCATTACCTAACAGAAGAGAAACTCCCTTAACAGGTAAAGTAGGTCTGACACCTACGACCACAGACCCAGAGACTAAATCTGACTTCAAGTCTATAACATGAAGAGGAACTTTCATAAGTCCTAATTCTACACCTTGAATCAGCACTTCAGAACCAGTATGTGTCTTCTCAGACAGTGGCAACACGCCCTCTAGTAACAAAGACTGAGAAGCACCTGTATCCCTTAAAATTCTTATAGGGTGCAAGTCGGTACCCACCGACACTAAACCATTGAATACAAAAGGCTTAAATTCCTCTCTAAGAACATCAGACTCTGGCTCTACAGACTTAACAGCAGTGTTCTCAAACTGACTACAGGAAACCTTACCTTGGACAGATGTAAGAGCCGTGGGACTTGGCTTACTATCATTACTTACAGGTTTTTTCCTCTGTAATGCCCAACATTCAGACTTAATGTGACCCTTCTTTTTGCAATAATTACAAATGGGTACCTGCTTTAAGGTTTCATTATTCTTGTCCCTACCTTTTATCTCAGAGTACGCCATCTTAGGTTGAATTACCTGTGAAGTGTCTGGTCCCCCTCGAGAACTGTCATAGCTGGTCATCTTCTGTTGACTAGTTCCGAGTTTTACAAAAGATACCTTATGTGTTAGTGCATAATCATCAGCCGCAGTCGCAGCTTGCTCAAGAGTCTCAACCTTCTGTTCATCTAAATAGGTTCTAATTTCAGGATGAATACAATTTTTGAATTCCTCAATCAAAATGACCTGTTTCAACCTTTCAAAGTTTGATCCAACATTTTTAGAAGTGCACCACCTCTCAAACATATTTTGTTTCTCTCTCGCAAATTCAACATGAGTCTGTTCATTGAATTTCTTGTAATTTCTAAATTTCTGTCTGTAGGCTTCTGGTACAAGTTCATATGCTTTTAAGACACTTTTCTTAATAACATCATAATCTGTACTTTGCTGAAGTGACAAAGCACTGTAGACTTCCCTCGCTTTCCCAACAAATGCACTCTGTAACAATAGTGGCCAGAATTCTTTTGGCCATTTCAAATTTTCTGCTATTTTCTCAAAATGAATAAAATATTTGTCAACGTCTTTCTCTTGAAACTTAGGGACAAGTCTTATGTTCTTTGTCACATCAAAGTCAGATTTTGATTTGGCCTTAGCTTCAATTTCTAACTCATGTTTTATCTTTTGAGTCTCAAATTCTAATTTCTTAATCTGTAACTCATGTTCTCGATCTTGCGCACTTTTCTCTTTTTCATATTCTCTCTTTTCTCTTTCAAATGCCTGCCTTTCTCTCTCCTGTTCAATTTCTAACTTCTTAAACTCTAATTCATATTCAAAATTTCTCTTTTCAATTTCACTAGATTTCAAATCTTCAACCAATGACAATGCACTATCATCTAAAATACCTCTCTGAACTAAATACTGAATCACAACATTTTTGATTTCTATTTTCCGAGCACTGCGCTTTACATTCAAGTGAAATTTTGACACAAATTCAAACAATTCATCTTTCTTTAGTGTTTGAAGTAACCGCGCGTCTGGTGCATTCAAAAATTCCTCTAAGTTAAAAACCATCTTGACTGGTGTGTATGATAATGAAATAAATTCCCAAATAAAATAATTCAGTGATCAAAATCTCCGAGATATCGTTTTTGAAAAAATTTCCCACAAAATGCCAAAAGTTCGATGATCCCGGACGAGCCCCCAATTTGTAACGTGCGCCGAATACACAAATCTATTTATAGCTCGTTTTTACCTGTGACACACTTACAAAAAGCACACCAACCAAAATGAATTAAAACTTTAACAAATTTTAATGATAAACAAGCAATAGAATCAAATAAACACACAGTTACAGTTACACACAAATTGACATATAATAAACAAATTCAGACAACGTTTACTCAGCTGTTCAGTTCGAATGTCCTCCAGTCCAGAACGAATTACACCACTCCGAGAACATCAGACACTATGGACGACGGTCACTAAATATGTACTTTCACGGTATTATAAACATCCTGGGCCGAATTACAAAGTACGATATACCATCAGTCCATTGCCAAGTCTCTCCAATTATCCTGTATCCTCGCAGACGATCGCGAGCTCGTGCAGATGTTCTTCAGCTTCCGGAAATCCATGTGACGTCACACAATAAAAATAACTACTACAGCTGACGCAATGTCTATTTTCATAACATTACAGGATCGTAACAATATAAATAGTCTAAAAATGGCCACGACCACCCAGCCTCTTTAAAGTCAAAGACAATGTATTAAAACACAAACAGACAAAGTCAGAGGTGTGAAAATGTTTATGTAGGAATAAGTATATAACCCCAAGACACTAATTAGCACCTGTTTATAACTTCCAACACAAGCTGAAGATATGGACTTCTTATTTTCATATGGACTAATCAATTAAAAAAATCAAAATATGAATTTTAATTGTAAACTTTACAAAGATTAATTTGATTTAAACGTTTTTTTTAATGGAAAGGGGCATTGTATTTAAACAACAAATTATATAAAAAGTTCTTTTCAAGAAATTTTACTATTAAAAATTTTGGTCCAAAATATGTTATTAACCTTTCTTAAATAATCTTTATAAAATTGAGGGAGAGGAGACTATTTTTCATTCATTTAAAACCAGTGTAACTGAATGTAATTGTGAATTCCTTCCCTTTTTGAAAGTTATTAATTAAATTAACATTACTTGCAATTGAAAATTTGGTCAACTACACTTTACTTTCAATTACATCGAAATTTGTAATTAATTACAGTCAATTACCATTACCCCATCCCTGACTATTAGATGTGGTTTTGTCGTTTGTTAAATCCCACACAGCAGTATATAAGAAGGATATGATGATAACGAACAGTATTCAGTCTAATAGTCCATTAAACAATACAAAATACAATCAGAACAAACACGGGCCTCCAAAACTTCAGAGGTTGGATCAGGTGCTATGGAGGTGTGAGCATCCCCTGCAGACCGGTCACATCCTCTGTGTGCTCCTTGTCATGATTAGGAAATAACGAAAAAAATCCGTCTTCAATTCAGTGTATAAATAATGGGCTAACAATTGGTATGAAAAACGTCAGTCAGCATTTGACTTAATGATAAATTATATTTGCTGACAAGGTCATTGTATCGACCATAGAACTTACGAAATGGTGACTCTAAAGGAGACTGCTGATATTCTTGTTTAATCAATTTGCTTGTCAATAATTTACCTCGTTTCAGAAATTGTTCCTACGTACAGCATGCTCTTGCGTATCGAATCAACTGAGATGTGTATACTCCGTATGCAGATGATGAAGGTATATTGCTGCATAAGTAAGGGAAGTTGACGATAGAAAAGTTAAAATTATCACTTTTATCATAAAAACGATGCATCAATCGCAATGCAATTGTCAATGTGACGTCATGACGCAGTTTGTACACAGTGAGAGGCTGATCAAGGCACATTTTGTACAATGAAAAATGTCTTTTGTTCTCAAATAAAATATTATTTGCAATTAAATAAAAGGCCGGTAACTTTGATGCGATGTCTATTTTAGTATTTTATTTATAAACTGTCCGTACATTCTCCAGACATGTGATACTGTCGAATGTTTGTATGCAGATTCATTAAAAAATAATGTAATGGTCCTAATAAATAGATTCATTGCAAGGGCATACTCTCAATATATCTTGTCAAGTTTTTACACATCAACTCAAGAAGCATTAAGATATTTGAAAAGTGCTGCGAACCTCATGAAGACTTGAAAATAAATTCATTATAGCTATATTTAATGTAGTTGACCAGCAAAATATTCAACCTGCCGACCAACAAATTAAATTTTAGCAATTTAAAAAGGGTATCTATATAGGTTCGCAGCATTTTTCACAAACTACATGTAGTGTTAAAAAGGATCATAAGTTAAACTAAGATTTTTAACTTGTTTATGACCTTGCAATATTGAAATTTATAGATAACCTCTACACTGCAAGTATAATTGCTAAAATCATGTGACGTCGACATCACGTGAGAAATCTAAATTTAAAAAAATCGAAATGTCCCCAACATGTAGAATTAAACCACATTACATTTTTTAATATCAATCCATAATATAAATCTTAAATAGAATCGCCCATCCTAATAAAGTATGCATTTTTTATCTTAATAAATCGCGGATATTTCCATTTGTAACCTTAACTGTGCTGCGCATCTTCACGTCTTCAGTATCTAAACATCAAGGAGATTTCTCTTAAAGTTTGCATTCGGATAAAGGAGAATTTAAATGCATCTATACTATAAAGTTACTTATTTGTAACTAATTTTTCATAATATGTCAAAATTATTCATACAATTAAGACCTTTTACTAAGTATTACTTTACATAAATATATCATTAAGATTGATTTCGGTCTATGGCATTCAGGGTATATCATCATCTATGCGTGCTGTGTGCTGCATTTAGAAAGATAAAATAACGTTATTAGGGGCACTTACATGCATATGTCAAAATTCGCAATTTATGTATATTCTCCTAAAACATTAATAAAAAAAAAGAGGCAGTGATTTTTTAACAAATGGAGATACAAACTTTATGCATAATAAATCGGCAAGGCAATGAACCTTTAAAAGCTAATGCATATGCTCTAAATAACCTGTTTGCCTACTGTTTTACATAATGCTTATATATAGAAACGATCAAGCTTATTACATCACAATAGAATGACATTAATTCTTCACGTATTTTTTTAATCACTGAAAGTTTTCTTTAAGTGTTTTAACGCCCCTTCCAGGATTTTCAGTCATATTATGACTCCACCAATTGCCGACAAACTGCTTCAAATAATACTCTGCACTTATGACCGTTGAACATTAAGGGATTTCGTGCCAGAATCTATATTACAACACGCGACCTCGATTTATACTCTTCTGAAGTACCAATATTGTTTAAGTAAATGTTCATGAATATAATGAAAATTAAACAGATACAAGAAATAAATACAGTACTGTATCTATCTCAATTCTTTTGACTTTGCAATGCACAATCCTTGTCGTGAAAATATATTTTCAATCTTCAATATAATTTCTTCTATTATGAAGTCTTCGAATGTTGATGGAAAAAAAACCCACATTTTCAAGTTTTTTTTAAATCCATTCTCCAATAAGTAAAGAAATTAATTTCAAGAAAAAAAATATAGGAGTAAGTACGAAAAATTACAACTAATACTCAAATGTTCGAGAGAAAAAGAAAGAAAACATAAATATTTAAAAATCGGGGGTTTGGATGGGGGAGACTCCTCCCCTTTACTCTACTGGTGTTGTCAATGGCTTTTGCAGACATTTTAATTATATGTTTGGTTGATTTTCTGAAATACTACATACAATTTCAATGAAATATCTTTAGAAAAGAATTCATCTTTCAAAATAGCTTTCGGCGCAATACTGTCAATATTCAAAACGAAAGTTATGAAATATTCAATAGCTACCTTTATCTATTATCCAAGAGATTCTCATTAAGGACAGATGATACAAACAAAAAGTCGATGCCTGGATTCGTATAAATTTTTTGACCTTATTTTATTGCAAATGATGCACAAAATTAATTTCTACAACATAAGGAAATTGTAAACCTTCTGTGACATTCAAAATTGTACCCTTCTGAAGCCATCCTTATTATTCTATACAATTTTTTTTCACTTCAAATTCCATTTTTGTGCAACTTTAATAAAAATTAAAAACTACGTAGTTACACTAATTCATGTTATTCAGTAGAATATGACCGAAGTTGCTATTTTCAAAATTTTTGAAAAACGTTTGTTTGTATCATCTGTCCTTAAGTTGGAAATGTAATAAATGTGACGTGAAAACAACCTGGACATTCACAGTACAGTAATCAACATTTCAAAAAATGATAAATGTGCTCTGCAATGACACTGTAACATTATTTTTCCAGGAAAAAGTTAATCAGGGAAGATCTATTTTTGTCTCTGTCACCAACTTCTTTCAAACTAATTGTTTCATTATTGAAAACGAGGAACGCTAGTAAATCTTGTCTAGGATGAAATATATTTGTATTTTTTCCAGCACATTTTAGCAATTATAACGATTTGATTACACAGTCTTAAAATTTTGAAGGTCTTGCACTGAAATGTAGATATTGATAATTTCAACATCACTTAAGGGGTCTCTCTACAACGTCACAACAAGGCGTACTTCCGTAAAAACGCCATTTTGATCCCAAATGATGCGATATGGATGGAATGTACATTATATCACATCAATTAATATGTAGTGTATTGCCCAATGCGTATCCTTTCTTTAAAAATGAATTGTTTGTCAATTTATTCAATTTCTACTTATTTAATTATTTAATAATACATTTACAAACTTATCAGAATAAGATTTTTAGGTGAGAAAAAAATGATATAAAACATGGCTTGTCCATATGCTAATTCATCATTACGTGTCAAAACGCCATACACTCAGAAATTTCTTTCTTCAATAAGCATATATGCTTTCCAGCAAAATATATCCCCCCAAAAATGCAAATTTGATCAGATAAGACATATGTATTATCT